TACCTCTACTGGACCGAGTGGGGCGGCAAGCCCAGGATTGTGCGGGCCTTCATGGACGGCACCAGCTGCATGACGCTGGTGGACAAGGTCGGCCGTGCCAACGACCTGACCATCGACTACGCCGACCAGCGCCTCTACTGGACCGACCTGGACACAAACATGATCGAGGCTTCCGACATGCTGGGTGAGGCGCTGGCGGGGTCCCGAGCGCTCAGCTGGTGGGGGGCGGGAGGGTTGCTGCCACCTCTCAGTGCTGCTCAGGGTTTGCCCCCTTTAACGTCGCATCATTTGAAAATATCCTTCGTGAAGAAAAGCTTGCTGTACGGTTCTTATTCTCTATTTTTATTTATTTTTTTACATGAGCAGTTTTCATGTTTTCGATCACAAGGGGGTTGTTTTCGTGTCAGATATCGTCAGAGTTGTCTACTCATCAGCCTCCCCCTCCCCTGCTCATTCCCCCTCCCCCCCAGTGGGGCTTACACTTCTCTGGTCCTTGGTTTCTCTCCCCTCTTAAGGACCAGCCTCTCTCATCAGTCTCTAGAGGTGGGGACCCATTGTCCCCCAAGGGCCGTAGCATCATCGAGGCCATGCTGGTGATCGTCTTAGGACCTCGCCCCAACCGAGACGGCGGGAGCTGCCTCTCTGGTGACAGGGTTTCTCCAGCCCACAGGAGCCTGGGTAGCTTAGTGGTTACGCAGTGGGCTGCTAACCCCAAGGTCAGCAGTTCAAAACCACCAGCTGCTCCCAGGGAGAAAGAGGAGGCTTTCTACTCCTATAAAGAGTTGCAGTCTCAGACACCCCCAGGGGCCGTTCTACTTTCCCCTATAGGGTCACTGTAAGTCGGAGTCCACTCGATGGCACTGAGGACACAGCCCGAGCACCAGAGGTCGTCGCCCGTCACCCTCACTCTAGTCCACCGCTTACCTCCCCTCCCTTGCCGCCCTCCTCCCCCACCCATGACTCCATTGCTCTCTACTTTTAAAAGACTAGTTTTAACAGTTACTCAGGGTAGACCTTATGTGAAGGGCCTGAGTGGTGTACTGGTTACAAGCTGGGCTGCTCCCCCCAAGGTCAGCAGTTCAAAACCACCAGCTGCTCCCAGGGAGAAAGAGGAGGCTTTCTACTCCCGTAAAGAGTTACCGTCATGAAACCCACAGTTCCGCCCTGTCTCATCAGGTCACTGTGAGTCTCACAGTGGGAGACCCCTAAGCAAAGGCATGATTCTCCCATCCGCACCCATGTTCATGCATGTCACCCTGATCAGGTGGCTTAGTCGTTGAGTTCTAGACGCCTCCAGTGCCCTGGAAGGCGCCCTTGGGCCCCCTCCAGCCTGATCAGAGGTGACCGCTGCCCCGACGTCTGTCTTCCTGTGTGATTTGGGTGTACTAGAACTTCCCGTGCATGGGGGTCCCGTGGCAGCACCGACTCCTCCCTGAGCAGAGTGACAGTTCACCCACCTGGGCGTCACCTCTGGTGCCTGAGCCGTGTGTCATGCCCCCACCTCGCCTCCAGGTCAGGAGCGCGTGGTGATCGCCGACGACCTCCCCCACCCCTTCGGCCTGACCCAGTACAGCGACTACATCTACTGGACGGACTGGAACCTGCACAGCATCGAGCGGGCCGACAAGACCAGCGGACGGAACCGCACGCTCATCCAGGGCCACCTGGACTTCGTGATGGACATCCTGGTCTTCCACTCCTCGCGCCAGAACGGGCTCAATGGCTGCACGCAGAGCAACGGGCAGTGCGGGCAGCTCTGCCTCGCCGTCCCCGGCGGACACCGCTGCGGCTGCACCTCGCACTACACCCTGGACCCTAGTGGCCGCAACTGCAGCCGTACGTGCCCCTGGGCCAGCTGGGGAGGGCTGCGGGTGGCTGCCAGGCTGATGTCACTGGGCTAGATACGTGGACGGTTGGCCAGGTTGTGCACTGAACCAGCCTCGTGACGCCAGCTGGGTGCCGAGCCCATTGCTCCATGGACACCCAATTAGGTGGTTGTGCCTGGAGCTTCTGGATCCTTAGTGGGTCTCTGAGTCCCAGGTGCAAGCAGGGGGATTCCTCAGGGCAGTGGTTCTCCACCTGTGGTTGGAGACCCCTTGGGGCCCAAACGACCCATTCACAGGGGTCGCCCAAGACCCTATTTCCTATGGTCTTAGGAACCCAGACACTGCTCCTGTCCAGGTGGGTCCCCCCACATGTTACGCCCACATACGGGGTCACCCCACATGAGGAAGCACTGCCTTAGGGTGGTCTCTGAGTCCCAGGCTTGAGCATTCACTCAAAATTCTAGGCTCTCCGCACTGGTCTGGTGTATTCTCCACGAAACTCATTTCCTCCTCGGCCCGGGCTGTCCCTTCTGGCGACATGGCTCCTTCAAGCCTGGGGCACCATAGAGTGTCCTGTCCCATCCCCCCCTTCCAGCAACAAGTGTCATGATTGTGTGGGTTTGAGCTCCCGCCTCTCCCCTTCCTGGTCTAAAATCCCAGGTGTCAACAGCACAGTCGCTCACGGACCCTGCACAACATTCACGTGATAGTCACAGCTCACGTGGAGTGCAGGGCTCTGGGGGGCCCACTCCGAGAGGCTGTAACCCCCCCACCCCTCCAGTGCTTGGGGGCGCCCTGGCTTACAGAGGGCCCTGGGTTGGCTGTGGGGACCGGTGCTACCAGAGGGCGCTGTAAAGAGGTAACCTCTACTGGCTCATGGCTGGTGGTGGTAGGTGCCCTTAGAGACCCCAAGCCCGACAGAACAAAGCACCAGGTCCCCCGCCATCCTCACCATTGCCCTTAAGCTCGGGGCTGCAGCCACTGTGTCCATCCGTCTTGTCAAGGGTCTTCCTCTTTTTCACCAAGCCTGACGTCCTTCTCCGGGGACTGACAATACACGCAAAGCTCATGAGTTAGTTAATTGTGCCAACCTGGCCGATAATCACATGTGGGGCTAATTGAAAGGCGGAGGGATAAATGGGTGGTGAGCCTCGCCTTTCTAGTTCTCGGGTCTCTCATAATTTATTAGTCTGGGTACTTTAGAGAAACAAATCCACAGCAACTCATATATAAGAGAGAGTTTTAGGTAAAGAAAAGGTGCATCACGAAAGCATCCCAACCCAATGCTGCCCAAGCCCACAAGTCCAACATTAACCCATTTACCCAACACCAGTCCACAAAGTCCTCCACCTCACAAAACAGAGGCAATGATGCCGACTGCAGGAGGAAAAGCTGAGTCCGTGAACGAATAAGCATCTCAGCACTAGCAGGGGTCTCCACACGGCTGCTCCAGCACCCAGGGCTGCATCGGGATAGGTCCATGCGGCTTCTCCTTGGGGATGTCTTGTAGGAAGTGAGCCTTGCCAGCTGAAGCAAGCAACTGGATAAGGCAGTTGCACCCTGGTCCGACCATCACAAAGCAAGAGACCTGAGAACTAGAAAGGCGAGGCTCACCATTTATCCCTCCACCTTTCAACCGGCCCCACATGCGTTTATCGGCCAGGCTGGCACAATTAACGAACTCAACATTTGTTTCTCCTACGTACCCAGACTAACACAGCTCATGAGACCAAGTCTCGGCATCCCTGCCTCTAAGGAGCGCACTGGCCGTACTTCTTCCACGACGGACTCCCTGGCTGAGGACGGTGGAGTCTGGCTCCCGGGCGCCGGCCCCAGGGGAAACCTTGTCCTGCACCCCCAGGGGAGGGTCTTGTCCCGGCTTCAGTGGCCCCAGCAGAGTGCCTCAGGTCTTGGTGGTGCCAAGTGCCACGTGCCATCCACCTCTCTGCCATCTCTGCTTGTCTTGCCATTGTGTGTGCCATTCTGTCCGTCACCCTCGGAGCTGATGGCCACCCCATTCACACCCTCGGGAAATCCTGTTTCCAGAGGGTCATGGCCATGGGGTCAGGACTCCAACACGGATTGGGGGGCAGGGGACTCCTTCCACGCCCCACTAGCTCCCCTCTAGTCTCCTGTGCTGACACCCAGCCCCCCTGTCTGCCTGTCTCCTGCCAGCACCCACAGCTTTCTTACTGTTCAGCCAAAAATGCGCCATCAGCCGGGTGATCCCCGATGACCCTCACAGCCCCGACCTCATCCTGCCCCTGCACGGGCTGAGGAACGTCAAGGCCGTCGACTACGACCCGCTGGACAAGTTCCTGTACTGGGTGGACGGGCGGCAGAATATCAAGCGAGCCAAGGACGACGGGACCCAGGTCAGAACTCCAACACGGATTGGGGTCCCTCGGGGGCTGGGGGGGCGTCTGTGAGGACCACTGCACCCTGGCAGTCTCCAAGCTACCCCCTCACCCCTGTCTTTGGCGACTGAGAAAGATGATGGTGGTAAGACACACGGGGTCTTCACAAAGCTTGTGCAAAGGTGGAATTAAGCGAGGAGGAAGGGATTCTCCCTCGGACTCCCTGACACCCCCTCGTTGGAGGAAATGCTCCCCATCTAGGGAAGGAGGTGCGGGAACAGGAAACGGAGGGGCTGGGGTCGGGGAATGTCCGCCGAGGGGGTGGGGTGGGGATGGACGAGGGGAAACAAAACAAGGGTGAATTGTTGAGGGGCACGCAGGTGACCTGCTCTGTGAGCCTTTACCTGGATCCACGATCCGGAGGCGCTCAGGTTTCTGATCGCTGGCCTCCCCTTCCTCCTACAGAGCAGCGGGGGCATTGGGTCGCCTCCCTTGAGGCTGGTTCGGCAGCTCAGTGTCACCAGGCCCCAGAGCCAGCCCTTAGGACTGCTCGCCGGCATCAGACGCGGGGGGCTGTACTTGCTGGGTTGTGGGGCGGTCACGGCTGTCCCATTCCGGGAGGTTTCCCCACCCCAGTGGATGCTCCGGAGCCTGATGGCACAGTGGTTTGGGCCCTCCACTGCCAAGCGAAGGGTCAGTGGTGTGAACTCCCCAGGAAGAATGTGGCTCTCTGTCTGGGGAGATGGCAGCCGTGGGACATGTCCTGCGTCCTACGGGGATCCCTGGGGGAGTCAGAACGGACTCCGTACAAAGGGTTTCTGCCTTGTCTGGGGCGGACGGGAACTCAGAGGTGACTTCCGTCCCCTCACCCTCCTGCCCCTGGCAATCGCTTCTCAGCTTTGGTTGCGGGGACCGGCTCAAACGCCCCGCTATCGAGTCCATGTCGGCTCACTGGCCCCACGGGACAGGGTAGAACTGCCCCCGTGAGTGTCAGAGACTGTCGCGCTTTACCGGAGTAGAAAACCTCGTCTTTCTCCTTAGGAGCAGCTGGCGCTTCCGAACCGCCCACCTTGGGGTTCGAAGCTCAATGCGTACCCACTCTGCCACCGGCCTGCTTGGGCCTGTTCTCAGAAACCAAACCCAAACAAACTCACTGCGGTGCAGTTGAGGCTGGCTCACGATGGCCCTGCGGGACAGGCTGGAACCTCCCCTGTAGGGTTCTGAGACTGTCCTGTTGACGGAGTAGAAAGTCCCTCTTCCTCCCAAGGAGCGGCTGGTGGCTCTGAACTGCTCGCCGTGCCGTGCCGTGCCGTGCCGTGCCGTCAGCAGCCCAGTGCGACCACTGCACCCCCAGGGCTCCGAGAGGCTAGCATTTCACGAGAAAACAGAGCATGCATGTACCTTGTTGCTTGTTCCTTCGATCCCGGCTCAGAGTGGACACGTCCGTTTCCCTACGGTCCTTTCTCACGGAAGCAGACTGCCTGTCTTTCTCCCACGGGGTGGGGGGTGGCCTGACCCACTGTGCCCCCGGGACACCACGCCTTGGAAGGGCATGGAGGCCGGTGCTTGTGTGCCGCCCTCCTCCTCCCAGACTGGTGTCTTCCCGGCTCCTCCGTGTGTGGAGCAGGACTTCCCGCCCTTCGTGACGGGAGAATGAGGATTGCACGGCGGTTGTCGGAACGCTCTTCCGTTGTGCTCATCCATTCACCTGGGGGTGGTCTCTTGGGTTGCGCCCCCCACCTTTTAGCTGTTGTGAATGTAGCTGCAGGGGTGCTGGTTGGATGATCCTGCTGGGGGGAGGGGGTGCTGGTTTGACGAAGCTGCAGGGGACACTGGTATGTCTGGACCCTTTTCTTGGGGGGAAGATAGTGCCAATGGGACCCAGTATTGGGTAAGCACAGGTCTGGGCTCCTGTCATGTAACTTGGGGGTACGCCCGAGTGGTATGAAACTGGCAGACCATGGTGATCTATAGAGACCGGGGTGACCCTTGGAGTCGTGGTCTCGCCACCAAACCCTAAGGGAGGCCCCCCTCCCCTCACGGGGACAGCGGACGTTGGTCAGTCTGGGTGGCTTCTACATTCCATGGAAGTTACACAGTCCGTTCTGTTACCACCCACGGTGGTGCATATCCCTAGAACCAGCAGGTGTGGTGCAAAACGCTGCAGTTCTGTCCGTGAATGTAGCGGCGCCGCTCTCCTTCGCAGCCATCGAGTTGGTGTCTGCGCCCAGGGACACCAGTGCAGAGCAGTGGGATGCTGCCCGTCCTGCGCCATCCTCTCAGGGGTGCTGAGTCAGAGCCCATGCGGCGGCCTCCACGGCAATTCGCCTAACTCTTTTCCACCGAGCCTCTACTTGGCCTAGCGTGCTGGCCGTCTCCAGGGACGGCCCCTCCTGGTGGCATGTCCTCTCCTTGGCCTCTACTTGGCCTAGCGTGCTGGCCGTCTCCAGGGACGGCCCCTCCTGGTGGCATGGCCTCTCCTTGGCCTAGCGTGCTGGCCGTCTCCAGGGACGGCCCCTCCTGGTGGCATGTCCTCTCCTTGGCCTCTACTTGGCCTAGCGTGCTGGCCGTCTCCAGGGACGGCCCCTCCTGGTGGCATGTCCAAAGTAGGTGAGACTTGCCTCCTCCCAGGAGCAATCTGCCCCACCTCTTCCAGGAGCGGTTTGTTGGGTGCTCTGGCTGCCCACGGGGTGCGCACCGGGCTTCATCAGCACCAGAGTGCAAAGGCATCAAGCCTTCCCTCCTGGCTCCCCGGCTCCTTGTCCAGCTACTGCAGGCAGAGGTCGTCGTCCTCAGGTGCCATCCAGTCCCAGTTCCTAGCAACCCTGTGTCCAGCAGAAGGACACTCCCCTTGATCCTGCACCATCCTTGCTGTGTTAATCCAGGTGGACGAGAGAAACAAACCCAGAGACACTGGTGTGTATAAGAGAGAACCTGATATCAAAGAGTAACCGTGTGTTAAGAAAACATCCCAGCCCAGTCCACATCAAGAACATAAGTCCGATATTAGCCCATATGCCCAATATCAGTCTATAAATTCTTCTTCAGACTCATACAACACAGGCAATGATGCTGAATGGAGGAAGATCACAGGCCAGTGGGTGGGAAGTCTTGTGGATCCAGTGGTGGTGGAAGCATCTTAGTGCTGGTGTGGGTCTCCACGTGGCTCCTCCAGCTCCAGGGCTCTGGCTTCATCAATGTAGCTCCATGTAGCTTGTCAGCAGGAAGACGAAGCAGAGAGAGTGTGTGTCCTGATAACTGGACTTCTCCACAGTGGGCTGGCTCTAGCAGGGTTCTTCTACGATTGACTTGTCCTCTGTAGTGTCCCTAGTGTCCCTCTGCCTTTCAGGAATGTGCATTGTGTCATGCTCGGCTCTTGTCTCAGACCCCAAACTCAAAGGTCTGTCCCATTGTGGGGAGGACTGTGTGAACATCCTGTCTTTCTGCCCCGGGCCTTTGCAGTATCTCTGGTCTCTTCATCGATAAGGAAGCGTGCTTTATTCTCCCCATCCCCTTCCTTTGTGCTGGTCTCCCCCTCTCCCTTCTCACGCTCTCAGCTCGGGCCGTAGTGTGGCTGTGCTTCCTCCGAGCCTGTGTCTGGAATGGTGGTTCTGGTGCCTGGGGCCCCACAGACGGTCCCCCTCTGCCCCCAAGCCTGAGTCAGCCAGGCCCGAAGGAGGTCCCCTTTCCCAGGCTGTGCTCCCCGGACCTTCGGTGAAAGCAGCGAGCCAGCCCAGTTGGAGCTGTGGCCCCAAGTTTCGGAGTGTGAAGGTTGTCACCTGTGAA